ATTCAAAATTTTAAAAAATAAACTAAACTAATTAATTTTAAGTGAAAATTAAAATATAATTGCATCTGCAACTGTATTTGATAATGTTTTGAACTTTTAAAATATTGCATGGTAGAACCAGAAGCTGCTCTTCATATTAGTGACAAACTTTGGTGTTTTTTGATGAGTTACTTTCATTTTTGCTTCTACTTTTAATTTAAAATAAGTTTCCATTCTCGGCAGGTTTCTAAGGTTCTTTTTCTACATACTAAAAAAGTTGTTAAACATCTGAGTGGTGCACTACTGCTACTAGTGGTGAGAAAGTGTATTGCACCTTTTCAAAATCAATGTGGTCTCACAGCCCTCTGCGGCCCAAAGTTAAAAACTGTTGTTTTTTTGAGGCCCTTGTGGGCCGCGGCCCATAGGTTAAGAATCTCTGGACTAGATCGTCTCATTTCACAGCCGTTCATGCAGCCGACACCAGCGGCCCACATAGACCGTGGTCTACGAGGGGTGCGCTCTACGTTGGCTGAAACCTATGAATTGAGACACAGCCTCTGTCTAAATCAGGGCTGTCCAGTCCTGTCCTGGAGAGCTGCTGTCCTGCATGTTTTAGAGGTTTCTCTGCTCCRACACACCTGGTTTGATTAAACTCATGATTAACAGGCTGTGTCAGGTATCAGGTGTGTCGGAGCAGAGAAACAGGTAAAACATGCAGCTCCTCATCTAAACTGTTTGTGAAATTTCTGCATTTTATGAAGAATATTTTGACCACTCCTGATTTTTGTAGATTTTTGTTTTTCTTAATGAACTCACAAGAAATAAATTGGAACTGATTTCCAGAACGGACCCATAACAGCACTCATTCCAAGYGTTTTTATCTCCCTGCCTGAGCAGCAGACCGGCCTATTTTTAGACAAATTTCTCTGTCCAACCAGACTCTGGAAAGAACCATTTAGTCATTATTGTCTCTCGCTGCTCTGTCCTACCCTTTTCAGTTTTTGTGTGTTCTTTTTGTGCTTGTCARACCTCCTCCTCTGCCAGCTCACAGTGTGTAAATGCTCAGTTAGGGCTGCAGCTAACGATTATTTTAGTCGTCGATTAATCTATCGATTATTCTGATGATTAATAGAGTAATCGGATATAAAAAATAGTCACGTTTTTCAGTAATTACTTGAGCTTATTTTATGAGAAATACAATTATTTAATATTGTGAAGGGGTAATATACACCTGCTGATGACCCTGCTGCAATCAAAGTAAAATTACCATTTAAGTTGTATTAATTAATGCATTTTAAGCTCCGTTTGTTTGTATTTATGTGTGAGGTTTGAGGAGACATGAATTAAAAGCACTCTGTCTCTGAATCATTTTAAGCATCGCAGAAAAATCTAAATGCTTAAATTTATTGTTATGGACTGGAAAACTTAATGTCTTTTATTTTATTTTATTTTTTGGATAGAAATTTAATGAGTAAACTAAACATTTGGGTGTTGTAATTGAGTTTTGTAGAGTTCACCTGTTAATTGTAACAAAAAAATTACTATTTTTTTAAGACAGTTATTAGGTTGGTGCAGAGTTCCCATTTAGGCAATAAAAGATTTAGTCTTTGTTTAGTTACAAACAAATATAACAGTAGTAATAAAGGCTAAAATCATAAAAAGCAGCAGCAAATAATAAAAAAATCCAACTATCTTCTATAAATACTTTAAAACATGAAATATTCACTCCAAATACCTCATTTAAATTAAGATAAAAGCATATCAACAAATAAGTGTTTCAGCTCAATCTGTCGATCTGTCGCTGTGCTTTTATTTTTATCTGACAAACTTACATTAAGTCTTGTTTTTAATCACACAACTTACACACTGTTTAATAAAACCCTAAATAATGTTCGCCTAAATATACCTCCTCATACATCTGTAACCTGACAGATTATCACAGATTGAGGTAAACGTATTCTGCAAAGGGAACGTAAACAATTACCTGTTAACTCCGGACGYGTTCGATACATGCAGCAGTGTTTTTGTTCCGGTGCAGAAACATCGAGGATGTGACGCGTACTGTGCGTTGTCGTCTTTTTTGTTTAGTTTTAAATGTTCCCATGCTTTTTATAATTTGTTGTTTTCTGGGTGCTTCATGTTGGGACTCTTGTGTTCTTCTAAAGCTAAATATAGAGCTTAGCAAGCATACATGCATTAACAGCGTAACTGTTGGTGGAAGTACTAACGTTGTTGCATTGTGTAACGGACAAAAGTGCGCTGATTATAACAGTATGTATTTTTTACGAGGCGTGGAGGCAGATGGTTTGCCTCGAGGATTTTTTGTAATCAAATTATTCGAGGAATCATTTCAGCCCTAAAGTGCATGAGTTCATCAGGGTTTATCACGTTCTGTGGTTCCGGATCTTCAGCTGAAGCTTTCTCTTCTGGTGCTTTGATGCTAACATGTTTGAGCTGTGAAAATTTATTCCAATCAAGTATAAACAAGGCAGAACTTTTTTTAAAAAACTTTATTTACAACATAATATACAATCAAACAGTACTGTACTCACAAAAACAAAATAAACAGAAGACAAAATAAAAGGTTATACAGCGGGTAAAATAAGTATTGAACACGTCACCATTTTTCTCAGTAAATATATTACTAGAGGTGCTAATGACATGAAATTTTCACCAG